TCTGCCGACAAGCTCTAGCACTCAAGAAACTTATGGTCTAGTGAGGCAGATAAGAATAAGGAGCAGTGAACCATGATTTGTTGTGATCATGTTTCCGAGGATCCCTGTCTGCTTTAACATTCATTTTCCCTGCTGTGCTTAGTCTCTACAGTGTACAACACAGCAAGTTGACCTACTTTTATCTCTGTTCTTGGTACTTTTATTAAACACCTACTATCTGAGACATCTTTCTCAGTCACATATTTCTTTCCTTCCATTAAATCTGATAATATATGATTAGTACTCTAAGAAGTTTCCTGGGCATGTTGTTATTTGGTTCTTGGGATACTTTTTTTTTTTTTTTTGTAGAACAACTCAGCAAAATAAAATTCCTGTTTTTTTGTTGGACAACATTGTTTCACACATACATCAAACAGGCCAAATAAATAAATAAATAAATAAACAGCACCTTCATAGACAAAAAAAAAGGAAAAAAAGAAACCTTTTATCTTTGGCCTTTTAACCATCTCATACAAGTCAACTGCTTATAGTACAGCTAAGTACATACACACAAAAAAGTTACTGGAATGCTCGGAATAAGATTGTTTTGGTTTTTTGGGGTTTTTTTGCTTTTTTTATGAGGGTTTTTTTCTCCTTTGAGATTATAATGAACATGGTCAGTACCAAACCACAATGAGAATTTGCAACAGGGGAGGAAAAAAACCCAAAACTTCCAAGGCCCTGCTTTTTTTCTTAAAAGTACTTTAAAAAGGAAAATTTGTTTGCATTTTTTATTTGTCTTTTATATTTTTGCACATAATGTAGGGGTCAGCCAGTTTTGATGATCTCGGATAACCAAACCAGCCTTCGGAGCGTTCTCTGTCCTACTTCTGACTTTACTTGTGGTGTGACCATGTTCATTATAATCTCAAAGGAGAAAAAAACCCTCATAAAAAAAGCAAAAAAAACCCAAAAAACCAAAACAATCTTATTCCGAGCATTCCAGTAACTTTTTTTTGTGTATGTACTTAGCTGTACTATAAGTAGTTGGTTTGTATGAGATGGTTAAAAAGGCCAAAGATAAAAGGTTTCTTTTTTTCCTTTTTTTTGGATAACTAGAAGCTGCTCTGGCCAGGTAAAAACCACCCAGCTCTATCTACAGTACTTACAAGAGACTAAATGACATAGGTTATGGGCTAATTTGAATTGGTGCTTATAATTTGCATAGTACCTTACAGTTTATAAAATTTTTAATAATTATTAAGTTTTTTTTTTTATCTGATTGAATGCTAAAAGTAAAAGGCCTTATAATTTGAAGAACTGAAAAAGACTTTGGTGATTCGAGTGTAGTGAATTAGTTGAAGAGCTGAAGGTGATTTTTTTGAAGAGGAAGGCAGAGGCCCCATTTAGCAATTGTGTTAACTAATTCTAGACTTCCCTTGCTGCCTAACGTTTAACCAAGAGCTGACTTTACCATCTCCCAACTCTACCCCCCTGTTCCTTTGCGACTGACAATCAGTGTATTATGTGCTTGGACTCTCCAATAAATAAGTGCAGTGTTAGCTAATCTCCAAGAATGGCCCTCAATGAAACATGCCTCCTAATACTCATACCCTTCCACATTAGACCTACACTAGCCCTGTGACTCATTTTAGCTGATACAATGCAGCAGAAGTGATGCAGTGTTTCAGGCAAGACAGCTTGATAATTTTTGTTTCTGCTCTTTTTGGGAACATTTAACTAGCATGTAGGAAGTCCAACTCCTCTGTTGGAGGGCCATGTTGATAAACCACTTGGAGAGGGAACAGCACTGACAGTGCATGGGAGAGAGAGAGGCCTGTCACCCTAGTATCCCAGCTAAACCTACTCTTTCCCACCAAGGTCTAAGGCATGTGAGTGAAGCCATCTTGGCTGTTCCATCTTCAGGCACCAAATGACGACAGTCTCATGAGGGATTGTAAGTGAGACCAGTAGGAAAAATTATCCAGATGTTCCTCAAGAAGATGACTTCTCCAAAAATCATGAGAAATAATATAATGTTACTTTAAGCCACTAAGTTTTGGGGTGGTTTAGGATTTAGTAATGGATAAATTGGGCAAGATAGGAGAAATTGTGAGTGGTAACTGTTCAGTTCTGCAGAAATTAAAAAAGTGATTCAAACAAGTATCTAGAATTTCTGCTGTCAATTTCAAAGTCTGGTGCAGGAGACAAACATGTAGACAATTAGTAGTCATAGCATAAATTTTCCTTTGCATTCAACAGTATCTTTCCCTATCAGGGCATATATATTTTCCTCATTCTTTTTCATTATAGTATTTCATAGTGTGTGTGTATACATAGTTTATTTAACAGTTCACACTGTGGATGGACACTTGCATTTTTTATGTCTAATTCTTCCATATTGCAAATAATGGTGTGCAAATGTGAATGTATGTAGGATAATTTAAACTTGTTTTCACAGTGGCTCTACCAATTTTATTTATTTTTAATATATATATTTTTTTGAGCTTGGGTTTCTTCATCATGGCTTTACCAATTTTAGTACTGCCATGGTGACCACACATTCTTTGGGAGCTCTTTATAAGATTGAGAAAGGTCATATTTGGTATTCAACTAAGACAGCTAGACATATGCTATATAGGAAGTAATGTATATTAGCAGCAAACATGACTTCTGGGGCTAGCTAGTGAAAATGGCTTTAGAACATTTCTGTTTTGTCTGGATGATTTAGTAAAGGAGAAAAAAAGCCCCACCACATTCTCCCACATCTAAACTTAATTTCTATTGCCAATTTTTTCCTTATAGGAAATTATTGGGCAATAAACTATTGTATCATAAATATGAAACATATGTTCAATAAATGACATCAATTAATTGAACTTAAACCTCAGTAATAGTGCATCAATAGAAAGGGGATAGCAAATACTGGTGGAAGGATATGGGCTTTAGAATCATGTAGACCTGGGGTTTAAATCCTAGCTCTACCACTTTATGGTAATAGTTTATAATCATTTGCAAACTGGATTTGAAACTGTCTACTTAATATTGTGGTTATAAAAAGTGCCAAAAATTTGACATGCTAATAAATGTTATTTTTCTGTTCCATCCTCTAGGAAGTATTTACAAACTTTTGTTACTGAGTTTTACTGTTACTTTGTTCATACAAGCAAAAGATATAATGTGACCTTTCCTATTTTCATTTATTTTGAAAACCAGTTTGTAACATCTTGCAAAGTAAGTTGGAATATACGCCTTTAATGAGTATGCAAAATAATATACCTGTCACGTTTTGCATTCATATCTTATTTGAATTTTGTGGGTAGGAGTAGAAGTTAATGTTTTCATTTTATCAATGCAGGTTCAAAAATGACAGAGTTTGAAAATAGAGTGTTAGTGTTGGAAGCCAGGTTTTCTGGCTCCTCTCTTTCCTTTAGGTCACATTGCCCGATATTCTTTTGGTTCTTTTGTGACTCTTTCTTGGTCTCTTTCCATGTTGGTTGCATATTTGTCTAATGTTCCACCAGAGCCAACAAAATAATTTAGTCCCTGCTGTGTGTAATTATGCTGAGCACTTACTGATGTATTTTTTTCCATTTTAATTTAGAGATTAACTCAGGTGAAAAGGAATTTATTATTTGGAAGAAAGCTAAGTTGATATTATTATTTTTATATTACAGTGAACCTCAAATTTTTTGTTTGAAGTCACTGTTTTCATTTCTGAAATAGTTGTGACCACATGGTTGTGATAAGAGTTGAAGATAAAGAATATTGTTGGTGAAGATTTTTAGTTCTGTGAGAAAGATAATGATTGGTGGCAGTGTTTGACATTCTTGTAGGAATACGTGGACAATAAAGAGGAAGACAGCTGATAAAGATAAGCTAATATATATATAAAGCTTTAATATCTAATTTTGTTTTATGCTATGAATTTGTTTAGAAAGAAAGAGAGAGAGTTGGCTGGTTAGCTCAGTTGATTAGAGCACAGTGTTATAACACCAGGGTCAAGCGTTTGGATCCCCATACCAGCCAGACACCAAAAAGAAAAAGAAAAAATAAAAAGAGAGAGGCTTTTGATACATAAATAAAGCTAATTTTTAAAATTACATTTTCTAATACCAAACCTAGTTCTAATTTGAGGACTGTGCGATTTATATTCTTTGTGGATTTGAAGACTTGATGTATTGTCCATTTATAAAACTAAAGGTAGATTGATCTGTAAGACCACAGAGGACTCTACCTACTGCAGCCGTAGAAAGTTAAATTTTTAATCACTATTTCCTAAAATTAATACATACTTGCATATGTGTGTGCTTAAACCTTAGAGTTTTAATCTGTAGGTCCTAAAGAAAATGCCTTGGTGTCTTTAACTTTCTTTTTTAATGTTAGTTAATTGAAATATGAGAAGAAAAGAAAAAAAGTGGTTTATTTTACCAATTGAGGAACTATTCTAATTCCCTCCCTATGCAATAGTCAAAATACAAGAAATATGGAACATGGAAGTACTTTCAGGAAATACTTCATTATTTTTTCTGCATGTCTAACCATGGCAGATTGTAGACCTTTTTTGAAAAAAAAGAAATTATAATATCTTTATTTTTTATTTTTATTTTATTTTTTTTTTCCTTTTTGTCTTTTTTTCATGTCCGGCAACGGACCGCAACCCTCAGTGTCGCGCCTGTACCGGACCGGGACCGGCAACGGGATCGCAACCCTCGGTGCTGCGCCCGCCCCTCGCTCAGCCAGTGAGCGGGAACCGGTCTGTATGTGGGATCCGAACCCTCGGCGGGAGCGCCGCCACACTCCCAAGCGGCGCACTGTAGCAGTGCGCCACCGGGCCGGCCCCTATAATATCTTTTAAAAAATGATTTGTCTCTTGCCAAATTTCTTAATCTGATAGTTGCGTATGGTTTCTGTTGTGTATAGGAATGTATGTTTACCGTATGTGAGGGTGACATTTTCATTCTTTATCCTCCTTTCTGTTAAATCTACATTAAAAGTTTCTCCATTGTATTTTTCTGTAGCTCACCAAAGCTCATCGACAGGGACACATGGTGAAAGTGGACTGGCTGGACAGATTGACATTTAGAGAAATAGAAATGATAAATGAGGTGGGTTGTACTCTATTATATTTCAAAATATTTTCTCCAGATTTCTAAGTCAACAATTTTTTGAGAAGAATTGTTTATTGCCAGGTATGTCACAAATGTGGGGTCATTAGGGTTAACCCTTGTAGCTGGGAATTCTATGCTAATAAGTGGAAAACTTGGGATATCTGCATTTCTTATATTTTAATGTAATGTCAAACTGTGAAGTAGGTAATGGATAGCATAACTGCACCAAATAGCATATAAGTGAAACCTGTGCAGGCTTGATGGCTCACTTGAGTGTTTTTTTCTCATGGCAACACATATTGCAAATTCAAGTCAGTGTTGGGTAAATCTTCCATCAGCACAGTGCTTCCTCTTCACTTCAGTTACCATAAATCATCTTTAGGAAGTCCTCTCTCCAAATTAATATATTGCTTGTCTTATGTACTACATATAGGACTCTGTACCCTTAATAAAGTTACATGATTGAAGTAATTTATTTTTCTAGTTGCCTTGTGTATTGGGCCAGTATGTCTGTTTAATTAAAAGATGGCTTCATTGAGAGTCTTTCCAGAAGTTGTAACAAAAAAGTTTTTTTGTGTGTGTGTTTGCTCTAAAATGACAGATGTTTGGTCTAACATTCTGTGTCTAGAGAACAGAAATAACAATTATATTAATCAAATTAGGAGAGAAGAATATCAATTTTGTGGTATGTCTAGTTTACTATAAACCACCATAGGGTACAACTGTCTTAATTTATATTCTCTGAATAGTTTACAGCAGGTGGAAAGAGAGAGAAGTTTTTAATTTTACAGTGAACCAATTGTAAAATTTAGATTTTAGCATTTTTCTTTTTTTAGTGAATGTAGTAACACTTAACAACATTTACTTTCAGTGTGAATATTGGATATCTTTTCTAAATTTATTTATAGTACATCCTCATATAGTCAAACTGGAAGAAAGATTTACTTTATTCAATTTTTATAATAGTCCTATTCCAAAAATAGTTTAATCAAAAAGCTTACTTATATTTTTCTATTCTTCAACTTAGGTACCTCTGGCTGTAGAAAATGTAATGTTAGGGCTTACTTTGCCCATCCTTTATCACTTTTCCCACCCCTAGTCTTTAAAAGATAGGAGACCATTACCATTACCACAGTGGACTATAATATGCTTCATAAAGCTGAACAATTTAAGTAATCTCTTTAGACCGTTATGATTTTATGCATTAGATTTAAAGCCATTTGTAAATCTGTTTTGGGTCAAGACCAATCACTCTTTTAAGCTTTACTGTATTTTCACTTCTTCATCACTGTAGTATTTACTTCCTGTTTTGTTTTGTTTTTTAAGGGGACACACTTATATAAAGAACATTTTTTTATGTGGGGGAAGAAGTAACTATTTCCCCAGTATCCTTAAAGTGTTCATAATAATAATTTACAAATGAAAAGTCATCTTAAGACCATTTATAAATTCTGAAAAACTTGTAAAGGTTATACTATGTAAACGTTATATGTAAAGCTCAAACAGACTCTGTCCATTACAAAAAAATATTGCATACTTTTTACTTTCGGTTTTTGTTACACTTGTATTAGTTTCTACAATTAGATTATTCATATAATTTAGGGGTGAGCTATTCTTTGCTTAAAATTGTTAGATGTACAAAACATCTTTATTTTTTAAATAAAATAGGCCTCCTGCAAATGTATAAAAAGTACCTTTAAGATTTTATATAAGATCCAAACTACTGAATAAACCAAAACTGTTATTAAGTTTGAGGAAAGAGTTATAAGTGAATAGTAGACACTAATGGATGAAATGATTATGCTGTATATAATAAAATAATAGTGCTATATAAAACAGTTCATGTATATAATGAAATAAAAATTTGTTGTATTTGAACTTGTTCTTGATAGATGCATGTATTACTGAAATGGGAAAAGTGACATATAGTGATCTTTTAAGAGAATGTTGAAAATGATTTTTTTCCATAAAACAATTTTTTTTTTTTATAGAGTGAAAAACGAAGTTCTAATTTCATGTACTTGATGGTTGAGTTTCGATGTGTCAAATGTGATGATAAGGAGTACGGTATTGTTTATTATGAAAAGGTATTTGCCTTGGAACTTTTTATGGTCTCTAAAATAGAGAGGGGAGGGGAAACATTAAAAAAATTACTGTGCCTGCTGAGATGAATTATTTGGTTGCAAGATAGCAGCAGACAGCTGTCAGCAGCAGCTGTTTATGTATACACAAATCAAATCATATAGCTACAACAAGATTACAAAAGCTGATCATTCATGTAATGCAGTTCTGGGTTACAGATTCAATAAGTATGCAAGTGATTAAAAACTTTTTGATTAATTGTTCTGCAAATTGTGAGTTGGACAGAAAAGTAATAGCTTTATTTACAATTATTATTCATTTGAAAAATAAAAAGAGGAAAATATTTTTTAAGTGGTAAGCTATTGAAAGTTAAGTGTTTGTTATTTGTGTATATATGCAATTTGTTGGAATTCTATATGTGACACATAATTGTGCTTTTGAAGGACTTCATAAATGTAGATTTATTTACATAATATGGGCAAAATTAAGAAAACCATGTTACCATTAGGCTGAGAAACAAAATATGCAGTTATGGATTTCTTCTAGTCCATTCATTATGTGAAATTAAGTAGTTCTGAGCTAGGTATGTAGCCACTTGAAAAATATCTAATATCTGCCTTATATGCCCGTTAAAGGGGTTTCATTTAAGTACAACAGAAATAATTGTATGTATAGTTCAAAACCACATAAACCAGGTTAACTTCTATGATTGTGGAAATAGTAGACAAGTGTTTAAATCAGTGCAAATGAGGACAGACTTTCAATACATGGCATAATTGCAGACGAATATTTCTTCTACCATATAACTAAGTTATATGCAGTCTATTTATTCATTAGAAGCAACCCTTTTGGGCCGGCCCGGTGGCGCACTGCTACAGTGCGCCGCTTGAGAGCGTGGCGGCGCTCCCGCCGAGGGTTCGGATCCCACGTACAGACCGGCCGCTCACTGGCTGACGAGGTGCGGGCACAACACCTAGGGTTGTGATCCGTTGCCGGTCACGAAAAAAGACAAAAAGGAAAAAAAAAAAAAGAAGCAACCCTTTTAAGTTGTATTTACATTTTTGTGTTGTTAAAGCTGTTGATCCGTTGCCGGTCACGAAAAAAGACAAAAAGGAAAAAAAAAAAAAAGAAGCAACCCTTTTAAGTTGTATTTACATTTTTGTGTTGTTAAAGCTGTCCCAAGCGATTTTTAAAATATGTATACTTTTATAACTATAAATTACTATATGAAAGGTTTTTATGGTAAAGGATAAGAGTTTATATAGTTAATTTGTGACCACTTTGTGGTATTTTTCAAGTTAGCATTCACATTTTTTTCCCTTTATCTTTTATCCCTTTTACTTTAGTGAAAGGTTAGGAAAAGGTTGTTTCAGCCTTTTATTTTATAAATAATTCTCCCTGTGGAAAAAAGATAGGAAGATAGACTAACATTGTTTGTTAATTTATTAGAGAAACTGCATCAAAAAGGAAGGGAAATATAGCTGACTGAAACTGCTATGTCACCAACACATTTTAATAAAATCATATTTTACATTTTATAATGATATGTAGTTTCATTAATAGTGTTATTTCCTACCCATATGGATTTTATATTGCAAAAACATGCTAATGGAGATGGTACTTTTTAGCATTGGAGATGTGAAGTATCTTTTGAAAGACAACTTTGATAATAGATGAAATAATAACAGAATATAAATTAGAAGAATTTCAAGTATTTTTGAAAAGGTTATTGACCCCTTTCTACTGTTTCTTGAAAATTGCTCATAAATTAATGCCCGTCTACCTACCCTGTCATATTTCCACTTAGTGTAAAGATTGTTGGGCCAGTGTATTGAATCTAATGGAAATAGACTTTCTTGTCACCTGTCTTTTGTGACAGATAGCCCTAGTGAAGATTACTTATCACAGTTGGTCTGATAAATGTGTTTCCTGGTGTTGTGACTGAGAACAAGCCTTTTAAAGAAAGTCTGTGGGAATTTGTGGTTCTCTGTAAGACTCAATTACTGAACTAAAGTTACAATGCCTCCCCTCTTTTCAGTCTCTTCTGATTTTATTGCACATATCTAAAGTTGAAAACTTACTAACATTTGGAAATTGACAGAAAAGCTTGATACTAGGTATACAATCGTGAGGAAATGAATTTTGACCTTAATTAGTGTAGCCTTTTCTAGTATATTTGACAGTGATATTTATTATGCTGAGTTACCGTTCTTGCCTGAATTGGATAAAAATAAAAGCCAACATTCTTCAAAAACGATAACTTTAGCAAAATAAGGCAGCTATATTTCTTAAAAATTGATCAAATCTTATTATTCAAGTTTACATTTTGTTGAGTATGTATCCCACTGAAAAGCAAGGTTGCTGCATCTCCAGCTGTGTAAATTTGTGAAACATTAACCCCACACTTAAAATTCTGTTCTTTTGAATGGATCTCAATTGTGATATCTTGAAAAGTTACCATATTCATTCAGTTTTTGCAAATGATGCAACATATGCATTTTGCCCATGTTTTAATTATGCTCTGTGGTTTCTTCTAAGTTTGCAAATTAGCGCATATTGTTTTTGATGCACTGTCTTTATGAACAAAGTTAAAGAAAAAAAAAAAGAAAAGAAAAAGACCAACAGAAACTACTTATTTCCAGATCTCATATTTCTAAAACTGTAATACAAATTTTTGTTAGATTTTGTTGTTCTCAAAATATTTCATCAGTAACAAAAGACGTAAAAAATGGGTATGTATTTTATAATATAGTTCAGAGAAGATAAAATTTTTTTTAAAGGGAGGAATGATGCTCATTAAATAGAATTAAAATACATTGGAGTATACAACATTATGTATTGTTTCTTATTATTTGGTCAAATTTTCTTTTTTTTCTTTTAACTTACTGCTCTCTAATCCAGGATGGTGATGAGTCATCTCCTATTTTAACAAGCTTCGAATTAGTGAAAGTTCCTGATCCTCAGATGTCTATGGTAAGTTATCGTCCCAATTTTTAGGATGGAACTTTTCTTTAGAGTGACTGTGACGTAGACCCACACCATACACTCTCCTGAAAAAAAGTAAGAAGTAACCACCTCAGTAATCTAGAAGTTATTCATAAGTCCACTTCAGCTATCTAGACTCAGGTTCAGATGACATTCTAAAAATAAGGTCAGGATAGTATAGGGTTGAACAACCATTTTATTTGAATTATTGAAAGAACTAGAGAATGTAGTCTTGGAGTAAATACTTGGCAGAACAGGTACTTGAACGATTGTCATCATACAGAAGGGAAATTTGCTTATAACAGGAGGATCCTATAACTAGGATCAATAGATGAAAATTTTAGGAAGATCAAGTTTGTTATAAAATAAGCAAGATTGTTGTAATTATTAGAACTATTCAATTTGGAGTATGGTGACGGGTGATGGTGGGACACTTATCTATTAATGAATTAATTATATTAGTTACATTCCTAATCAGATCAAAATAGATTAAAAGCAGCACATTGGATGATGAAAACATGATGACTGAGATAAGTTTAGGTCATCAGATCAGGAAGTGTAGTGCCTAATAGCCTAACATCAAAGGAAGAGATGGGGGGGAAAAAAGTAAGAGCATAAAACATTAGAAAAAAGGTCACTTGCAGATTTTGTAGGAGCAAACACTCTAGATACTTTAGTAGTCCCTGTGCATAGTACTTGTATAGTAAACTCTGGTTAACATATCTAAAATTTAGACTGAATTTTCAGTGTAAAATCAAATTATATTTTGCATTTTGGATATTCAAAACACACAGATGGATGCATTCTATGGTTTACTTTCAAAATGGCTTGAGTGTAAACAAGTTTTGTTATATGGAATCATAGGTATCACTTATGTGTAACTCCTACCAAAATGTCAGGTAAATGAGTTGTCTGTATGTTTAGTGTCTTCTTTTCTGAAGAAAATGCCCATCAACAATTATAGCTATTTTAATTATTTTTTTTTTCATATTGTAGATGTTGTAACTAAAATAACAAAAATGAACTAGAGCCCCTGTTAATTTTTTTTTGTTTGCAAGACATCACCTAGGAGAAAAACTTTTTACTTTTAAGTGAAAGCAAGCAAGCACAAAACAAGATAAAAAGTAAAAATTTACCCCTTTGTCTTACTGTCCTATTGACAAAATACAGACTGTACTTCTATAATTACAACGATATGGTACTGAAACATGTACATACAGAAATAGACTGGTTGAGCAGAATAAAAAGCCCAGAAATACATCTGAGTATGTATGGATATTTAGTATATGATAAAGGTGGCATTTATTATTGGAGTATAGTGCTAGGGAATGGAACTTGGAAAAAAATAAAATTAAAGTAGATCCATATCTCACATCATACATAAGGAAAAACTCCAAATGGATCCAGAATCTAAATGTTAAAAAATGAAGCTATACTAATACTTTACTCTCAGTGTAGGAAAATAGTTTCTAACTATGATCCAACATCCAGAGGCAGTAATGAAATGATTGATAAATTTGACTACATTAAAAAAATGGTCTGGCATGAAACACTATCTGCAAAGTCAAAAGATTGTTAACAAGCTGGGAGAATATACTTGCTACATATATCACAGACGAAAGGCTGATATGTAAAGAACTCTTAAAAATTAAAAGACAAAGGACCATACAGCCAATCAGAAATTAGGGAAAAGACATGAACAGAAAATTCACACATGCAGTAAGTAGATAAATATGAGGGTACTTCAAGAAGTTCATGGAAAAATAGAATTAAAAGATAATATGAATCTTTCCATGAACTTTTTGAAGTACGCTTGTAGATAGATGAATATAAACAATATAAATATGTGTATTGTCTTAAGCAATGACAGTATGGTTAAAATTAATGATTTTGGCCATGGGTTAAGCAGTCAACATCAGGTGTGTGTATTCAAGTATTATGATCATTATCCTTGCCCTTTGTAACTGAAGTTTAAATTGCTGCTAAGATGACAGTACAGTGATGTCACAAGATCGCTAGTAGCTAATAGGAGGAGGGAATGCTTTAGTCTGAGTTGTCAGGGAAAATTTTAGAGTGAAGGTGATATTGGAGTGGATAGAGGATGTGAAAACCTTGAATATGTAGAGAGTGAGGGGTATATGTTTTAAGAAGCTGGAATGGCCTGTACATATTAGGGCACTGGTGGAGCTTAGGTCATACTTAGTTTCCCAATCTCAAAATGGGTACATATTTTTAAAAGATACATAGGGGACTAAAGTACCAAAATGAAACATTTAGTATTATAAAATGGTTGTAAGTAGGTATCTATTTACTTTTTATTCTGACTGGCTATTGAAATTTCCTTTTGGTAAAGTTTACATTCTCAATTTTAATATTTGTAAATAATTTATAGGAGAATTTAGTTGAGAGCAAACACCACAAGCTTGCCCGGAGTTTAAGAAGTGGACCTTCTGACCACGATCTCAAACCCAATGCTGCCACAAGAGATCAGTTAAATGTAAGAGAATTTATAAAATATTAATATAAAAACAATTAAATGGGTATAATGGTTGCAACTGATGTGCTATCACTTCACTTAAAAATGACTTAGATGCATATTTTTTCCAGGCTGATGAACTCTACATAATATCAACAGTTTCACATATCTGCAGTTTTATTATCGTTGGGGCCTTTCAATAAATTTATTAGCTCTCTCTCCAGAGCTACAAATAATATATACTTTCATGATATAGCATTCTTAGAAATTGTCCCTAAGACATTGTCTGAGAGAGGATTTGGTGTGTACTCATGCATCGTTGTATGCGTTGACTTGAGAGGAGGAGGATTTATTGTTTGTTTTCTTTTTTGGTAGTGGTGGTGGGGGGGGAATTGTTGTTTGGTTTTATTTTATTTCTGGTTGAATTAAAAGAGCTCTGTAGTTTTATACTTTTATATGGAGTATGACTTTCTCATCTTTTTCTTCCCCTTACATTCCAATAGTATACTTTTTGGATGGATAAGTACAGGAAATTTAAGTCTTATTTGGCTGGATGTACATTCTCCTTCCTTGTGTAGTAGTTCTATTATAGGAATATTTAAATAAGTGAAAAATTTTTAGTGAAATGGAAATTCATAGGAAGTATAATTGGCAAAAGTCATTCTTTTTTGTTATTGTTGTTATAGATTATTGTGAGTTATCCACCAACCAAGCAACTTACATATGAAGAACAAGATCTCGTTTGGAAGTTTCGATATTATCTTACTAATCAAGAAAAAGTGAGTGCCTTGAATATTTTCATATATCAGATTTATCAACATACTTTGTTACTAATGATGAAGATGAGGGAACTGCCATGGAAATGTTGAGTTACTGCTTATTAGGTAGAGTGAGGCAAATTACTTTGGAAGCCTGGTTTTCTTATTTTTCTAATGGAGGTAACTCTCCTTCACAGGTAAGATAATACAGGTGAATAACCTGTGCGGAGTATCTCGTGCACAGTGTCTTCTTACCTCTTTGAACCCAGGCAACTAGGAAAATATTTACAGTATTAGAAGTACAGAATTCCAGAGGAGATATGGCTAGAGGGAGAATATGAGGAATATAATTTGAAATGTGGAAATTGAGTTTGTGGAGTAGCATACAGCTTGGCCTGCAGGATAGTAGCTAGGTCAGGACTTGACATTTGCTTTCCATAATGAAACCATGAGTGGGTAAAGTTTCTGGAGGGAGAGAATTGTGATGAGGTAATCAGCATTGAAATTGAGTTGGAGACTTGGTTTTGAGTTTTACTGTTAGCACTAAGAAGCAGGCAAATTATTCACCTGTCTAAGCTTTAGTTTCCTCATATTTGATATGTGATGATCACAATAGTGAACTTTGTCTTTTTTGATCCTTAAAATTCTCTGTAAATTTTTAGAACTGAGGGTCAACAGCTAACTATTAAGGTATAATGATAACAATCAACATTTATTAAACAGCTACTATGTTCCAGGAATCTTTTAATCAACCCCTCAATGTATGTATTATTGTCACTGTTCCACAAATGAGGAAACTTGAGCCTTAGAGAGAGTAAGGGAACCTGTGTAGAATCACAAAGCTTATAAATGATGCCTCTTGATATGCTCGCATTTATACGTTAGAAGAAAAGGGAGTCTGGAGATGAAGAAAAGAGAATTGTAGAGAAAAAAATTTGCAACATCATGCATGTGCCTTAGGAACTCTGAAATGCATTAGGGGCAGAGGAAAGAAGCATTAGGAAAATTAATATATGTGAGGAAGCTGTTATATAGTTATGTGAGAATGAATGAATTAATATGTTTTACAGTCTCATGAGATGATCTTTAACTACTTTGTTTTAACTTGTTTTTTCTGAACCAATTGCATTTCCTTAATTTCTAAAGTAAAAATAAAAATTTGCAGCTCATTTTAACTCTTCAGCTTTTTCTCTTCATCAGTTATTGATGCCTTGGGAAATTCTTTGTAGATGAATCATATTTATTCTCCTTTGTATTCATAATGAGAATGAGGAAGAATTTTAAATTTACTGTAACTTTGAGTTATTCTCTTTATCACTGAACAAAAGGAAATATTCATCAGCAGAAACACAGGTTTGTGATCTTGTGCTTTATAAAAGGATTGAGTTAGTGTCATGATATGTGTTACATGAAAAATAACTTCGGTCACAGAAATTGCATCTTGAATGCAGCACAGTGTCATCTAAAATACACAGCAAGATATTGAATTAAACCTATTAGAATGTATAGGTTTCAAGAAGCATAGAATAGATTTACAGAACAGAACTTCCTTAGATAGAAAGGCTTGCAAGAAAGATTGTTTGTTTAAACAAGTAGTCACTTTCCACCGAAATTCAATTACTTCTAAATATGTGCAAAAGAAATAAAATGCTGAAATGATATAAAGTATGTGACAAGTTTCATTCAACTAGTTGATCTCAAGTTTTCAAAAGGTGGGTGATGAAACTTCAATTCTTAGGACACATTATAAGACTCTTATAACCACGAGAGTGGAGTGAACAATATTTTTTAATGTTCAGGAAGCGCTTTTGAGCAAACCAAATATATATTGACCTTGAATTGACCAGAGGAATTATTCACATATCTACATTTGTATTCTTGTAATAATTTGAAGTGGGTTTTGTAGAAAACAAATATCCCCATACCCTGCCCCTTAATTTATTTACACGAAGAAACTCAGTGTCAGGTTCTCAGATATTGTGATTTAGGTTATTTGGCATTTGGGCCCTGAGGCTGAAAAGCTTTCCTAGATAGAAGGCAGTACTCAGAAAACAAATGAGAAGAAATTGGTTCTTACATATAGTACTTTTTATTTTTTAATTAAATTTAGTCTTTCCACCTATTTTTTTCTAAATGAAATGTCTTAAGCAGTTCAGATGAAAACCCTCTAGTCTGAACATGATAATTGCACCTAAAAAGTTCACAGTAATAACTTTGTCCAGTAAAACCATTTGAATTTTTGAAGTATTTAAAAATTTTTGTCCACAGCAGGTAAGAAGTGACTCATTTTTGTGGAACTCAAAATGTGAATACTATAATTTTCAAAACTAGCTTTACAGTGGCCTTTCTTCTTATAAAAAATGTTAATTAAAAATAACTGTTATATTAACTCCACGCCTTTTGATTATGCTTGGGGAGAAAAAGCAGTAGGAAGAGTTACATATGGTGAAGATAATAACCATCACTAAATGTGCTTATAAGGATGCTTCTGAGACAGTGACATCAGGACATTAATCATATTTGTGTCTTCTGGTGAGAAGTTAATGGTGAACCACAGCAGAAATGAATTCACTTCAGCAAGCATTTATTATCAACTCTTGGTCTAAGGCTTTGGGCTTTGAGGTATCATGTCCTTATATTAATATAAATTAAAATTATTTTAGGAATAGGATATTTACACACAATCAAAACGGGAAGTATAAGCTATCAGTTGATTAAGGGTCATTGTCTTAATAAATATATAGGTAATTACTGTAATAGAAATGTGCAGATGACAAGATCAGTGTGCTATGATGTGAGGGAGGCTTCACAGAGCAAAGATTAGCCTTAAAGTTTGAGCAGGCTTTGGCATTTATTATTTGGTGATCATTTTTCACGGGGGAAAAAAGCATGAGTCATACTGATTGTTAGGTTCAAGAGACAGAAAAGTTTTTATAATGGTTATGAAGTAGAAAAGATGGCATCAGATTGTGATGAGCCTTGAATTCTACCCTCGGGAATTGGATAATACTGGCAATAGGAAACTACTAAAGCAAGAAAATGTGTCCTAACAAGGGATATTTTAAGGAAGATACACTAGGATAGATTGGAGGAAGAGTCGAGAACAGAAAAAGAGACTTCATTAAGAGACTTGTACTGATTTAGAGAGTGTCAGCCCTGGGCGCAAATGCCAGTAACCTACATCACATTTCTGAGAACCCGATACTGAAAGAATTTCTTTGTGTAAATAAATTAAGGGGTGGGGTATAGGAATATTTGTTTTTTACAGAACCCATTTCAAATTATTACAAGGATATAAATGTGGCTGTGAATTTCTGTTTCTGATGTTGTGAGAGTGGTGTTGGAGGACAAGGGAATGAGAGGGTACAAGTAAGTTGATTTGCAGACAACTCCCAGGGGATAGGCCTGAATGCCTGAAATAAGGAAATGGCAGGTAGGAGGAAGAGGGTGAGGAGATTTTTTTTCATTTTTGAGTATTTTGAATTGAAAATATCGGAAGAGCAGAAAAATAGAAATTTCTGGTAATTGAGTTGGGTAGAAGTTAAAACTAGAAATATGTGTGATAAATATAGTATTTTCTGCTCTGAAATAATTTTGATTACAATGCTAAGAATAGAAGATAATAGTGAGATGATTTTTAAGATCTAAAGGGAGATTAGCAAAATATTTTTAGCTATAATAAAACATAGTTTTATTGTGTTATACTGTATTTAATGTCAATGGTTAACATTTGACATTAAACTCAACAGAAATAGAATAATAATAATAAACTGAAAATAAAGTAACATTTATCGAGTATTTATTATATACAGGGTTTTTATTTATTTATTTGAAGTACTTATATATGGTTTCTAAAGATTTTACATTTATTAACTTATTTAATCTTCACCACAACTCAATGAGATAGGTTCCTTAAATTTAAATAGTGTGCTCCAGGAAAAAAGATGAAGATAAAACAAACAAAAGGTTAAAGAAAAAAAACAGAAAAACTAAAAAACCAGAAGAAAAATAGAGAAAAACAAATAATGTGCTCTAAGTGACTCAAGAAAAAAGATGAAGATAAAACAAACAAAAGGTTAAAGAAAAAAAAAGAAAAACTAAAAAACCAGAAGAAAAATAGAGAAAAACAAATAATGTGCTCTAAGTGACTCAGCCATTAATTGATGGAGCCAAGAATTAGGATTTCAACCCCGGCACCATGGCTCTAAAGCCTGTACTCTCCACTTAACCTGTGGAAGCTCTAGAATCCTGTATCTTTACATGGATCAATAAAGCATCTTTAAAAGACCTGGGTTTAATTATCATCATTATTATTGCTATCTTCAAATTCTTCCACTTTGTCTTTCTCACGCTTCTTCTCTTTTCCTTCTTCATTCTGTTGCGTCCTTCATTACATATGTAACATTTAGCTTTATAAAGTTGTGAAATTATTTGTATAGTGCCTTAAGTTCCTTGGCAGCAGTGTATTCTATAAATCTCCCAGATAAATCTGAGAATCAGGGAGTTTAGATTGTTTTAGTTATTGAATTAGCATGCTGCAGATTTTGCTAATAAGGACATATCTGCACATTTCTACTAAGATTGTTACGTACTATGAAACAGAAAAGCTTTCACTGTAGTTGTTTAAGAAGTATTGCTCTGTTTCCACATTCATCTCAGAAATACATAGAAGTGAAAAATAAATGCATGGAATAAGTTAGTAGGGCATTCTGTGTTCTATATGGATAGAAGGAGCATTATACCAAATGGTGTGTGGAGGGTGCAGAAGAAATGGACAGCTGTCTTTGGGGAATGCAGACTCCAGTTTTAGAGATAAAAATGCCCACAAAAGCATTTGCAGTTAGAGGAACATCATATAAATGACCGTAGTAAAATTGAGCATTGTGTTTAAGAGCATAAGGAAGGCTTGTAGACAGGAGTTAGGGAATCATTTATGAAATAGGTTAACTGTGCTGAGGCAATAAGGGCAATAAGAGTTTAATGAAATAGAGATTTGGGTTGTGGTGAGAGATGTCAGTGGAATGTTTTGAGAAAGAAGCCAAGTTTTTGTTGTTGTTGTTATTTATTTGTTTATTTTCATAAACTATAATTGAAACCACATTATAATGGTACGGCAGTCATCTTCAAAGAGTAGAAAGGCTGTCAACGTGGTGTCGGGTTAAATTTACTCTCATTATCTCCAGAGAGTGAAACTGACCAATGAAGATGTTTTTGTCTTTTGGGTCATTATAGTTTAAAAAAGAAAAAAAATGGGTTAGCTATCTATAAATATAATGGCTATTTTGGAAATTAGTCAAAGGAATTACTTACGTAAATATTGGTCTCTTTTTGGCAGTGATGTTGTAGGGTAACTTCTGCTGACAATGGGAGATTCTGCTAAGATGACTTCCAACTTGAGCTTTTGAGAATTTGTGTGAAATGATTAGAAGAGAAACTGGTATTGAGGCTCTTAGCTAGAAAGCTATGTCAGACATTAGATTTGTGATATAATGAGAATCTGCCTGAGAGGAAATACAGGAAATATTGCTAGGAAATAATTGACAGGGATTAGCAATGGATTTAGGGAATCAGTATTGGTGGAGTAATGGCTCCAAGGGGCATGGGCTTAGCCAGGTAGGGAATGGAAGTGCGTTAATAAGGAGGCACCACCTAGTGGGAGAGGCATGACTGAGAGTCAGTTGGTGGACCTGGATTCTAGGTCTAGCTCACCCAACATTTTGAGGTGAGGTTATATACGATTTAATCATTGGACTAGATTATTTGCATAGTGCCTTTTTTCTTAATTTAGTAAAATCAAGAGTAAGTTGGGCGTGAAGTTTCATTTTGTGTTGTATTAACAGAAGTTGTGTTTTGTGGTCTAAGTGGACATTTTTTTTTGATGACTTGATTAATTTGCTATTGAAAAGATTTTAGTTGGGCAGAGTAGGAATTTAAAATGTTAAAGTTATCATTGTTCAAGAGATAATTCACAGGTAAATTCATAGAAGAAAATGTCTTGGGTTCAGCCAGACAGTGTTGCCGGTGAGATCTGGCAATAGGGGTTGCTCTTTATGGAAAACAAATATGTATGTTTCTTAAAACAGCATTTATAATTTATGCAACCATGCATGACATGCTCCAAGGTAATCTACTTAATTGACAGTCTTGAGAAAACTTAAGTGTATTTCCTATCTAGAGAAGTGAGGTTCCACATAAATGCTACAAATAGCCAACTAACTGAATGATAGAACATTTGTTGCTGCTTCTGTACTTACCCATATTTGTGCTTGTTTTTTTTTTTTTGAATTTTTGTTTGATTTCCTATCTTTTTAAGTTATTACTTCTCAGAGAGACATACATATGCCAATTTGTCTGAGTCCTCATGTGATCACTGGCTCTAGGTCAGCCAGTGATCATACCCTGGGGAGTTGATTGAGAGTGAGGCTAGTGGTAGGAATTTCTACCCTTGCTTAGCTTCTGAACTTTTCATTTAGTGATTGCAGAATTTTGTGTTACAGTGTTGATATTGTAAAATATAGGTTTTCTCCAAGGCACCTTGGAGTTCTGAGACATGTCTTGAGGCCTGCAGTATTTTAAAATAACAAAAGTAAAATGAAGAAAAGCCTTAAATTAAAAAATTCATAGTGCTCTGCAAGTGATTTGGCCTGGAAAATGTAATTTGGGAATGCTTTTTTTTCTGTTCTGCAGATCTTCCTTAGGATCATATGCGTAACTTCATTCATTGTTTACACAAGAGCCCATCACTGACTCTGTGACTCTGCCGTCAGTACCAAATAGAATTCTGCCACCCTTGATCTTTCCTATGCCAGGCAATAGGCTGCTGTTTCTAATTTTAAAATCTTTTCTGATTTTAGGCTTTAACAAAATTCCTGAAATGTGTTAATTGGGATCTACCTCAGGAGGCAAAACAGGCATTAGAACTTCTGGGAAAATGGAAGCCAATGGACGTAGAAGATTCCTTGGAGCTGTTATCCTCTCATTATACCAACCCAACAGTGAGGCGTTATGCTGTTGCCCGATTGCGACAGGCAGATGATGAGGTACACTATAATTCATTACTCCTGTTTGGGTACATTTTAAACTAGATTCTAATTAAAGTCTGTATATATGTGTGTGAGAGAGAGAGAATTTTTAGAAGGGAAGAGGATATACTTGGTGTGTTTTCAGAAGTAAAATTAAAATATTCCTCCAAGGACTGCTTCTGTGAAATGAAAATTTACTTCCTGATCTGTTACGTGATAGGACAATCTCTCCCAGGACATTTACCTGGCAGCAGAGCTTGTACTGCTCTGTCTGGAAAAAGGAATTCTAATGAAAAATGGTTTAATGCAGCACCAGCTAGGGAATAATTCAGATCCCCTCTATCAGTCAGTATACATCAAGCCACATTTAATTGTAGCCTTGAAAAGCCCTTGGGGCCTTTAAAGCATAGAGATGCATGGTCATCTTACTCTCCTTCAAACTCCTCCTTTAAACTCCCACCTGCTGACAATTATGTGTATATGTAGATTTTCTGAAGGTACTTTTGAATACTCTGGGAAACAAAGACTGCAAACTTTATGCTGGCTATTTATATACATGAAAGTCCATCAGGGAAGGAGGAACACTGTTGACATGAAGCATTGCTAGATTTTGAGTTTTAGTAATTCCTAATTAGATATACTAACCTAGCAGTTTTTCTCTTCTTAATTTTTATAGGGTGAATGTGTTCTCAAACACAACCTAATAGTTTATCCTAGCATGTAGGGCTTATAGGATGTGGAATGACTCTTCTCAAGCCTCACTCTCTCTCTCTCTCTCTCTCTCTCTCTATATATATATATGAATGCTGATCCCATAGAACAACTATTATCAAAGACTTTTTAAAAAAATTTCAAGAAGCAAAGCATTTATTAAAGGCAATAGTTGATGTGTGTATTTAATTATAGTAGAATTTAAACACTAAAGTAAATGGTATAGTGAACCCTTCTGTATAATTCATCTGTCTTTAGCAGTTCCTAACTCATAGTTAATCTTGTTTCATCTATACCATTCACTGTCTCTATCCCAATCCCCTGCCCTCCACTAGATTATTTTGAGACAGATTCCTGACTTCTGGCTGACTGGCTATAAAACAGGGGGTCCCACGACCCCCTCCTTGAGTTCAATAATTTGCTAGAATGACTCATGTCAAAAGACAGATTTACAACGAGTTTAATTGTCTTTTACTTGCTGTTCTAGAATTTGGCAGCACCTTATTCTATAAAACAGAATGAGTGTTCCGATGAGCTGAGCAAAGGAGGTTGGGCTTATAGACAGAAAAGGGCTGAAGAAAGCAGAAACAACAAGGAGTGGATTGGTTATTTCAAAGTTACTTTCCTCATAAAGGTTAAAGCTGAGGGAATTTCTTTATGGCAGCCAAAACTGGTCTGTTGGGGATTTGGCTATTATTTCTCTCTCCTGAGTTCTCTGAGGATCACATAAATGACCTAATTTTGGCTTGGTGGCATGGATCTTTAGCATGAGTAACTCCATTTTGGTTTGGTCTGTTGGGCCTATTAGAGGTGCTCAGTTTAAACCAGTGGCCTCCTGTAAATTTTATTTAACCCAAAACTCAGGGAAACATTATTTAATAGTGCTAATTTATTACAAAAGACACTTTAAAGGATACAGGTGAACAGATGAAGAGATACATAGGATAAGGTCCTGAGCATAGGAACTTCTCTTCCAACCCTCTAATCACATGGCTGTTTCCTCTGGCATTCAGCTTCTAAGGGGCTTTGTAAAAGTCTCTCATGATCATAAACTCAGGTGTGGTTGAAAAGGGCTTGTTATGAATCACAAAGGACTTCTTTCGCCCTTGTAACTCTTGTCATTTAGGGAATTACAAAAGTTTTAGGGATCTGTCCAGGAACCAGGCACAAAGACCCAATAAATATTTCTTATATTACAGTGTCACATGTATACTATATATATTCTGTCAAAGCACAAAATTACAACAAATTTAGTTTAGGGTCTCAATTTATAGTGATTCTAGAATTGGGCAACATGTTATACCATAAAATAGAGTAAGTGTTCCAGTGAGCCGAGCAGAGGAGGTTGATTTTATAGACAGAAAAAGGCTGAAGAAAGAGAAACAACAACAACAAAAAGTGATTAGTCATTATAAAGTTACTGTCCTTGTAAAGTGGAGACAGGAAGACAGAACAATGAAAAAATAACTGACTAGTTAACATCAGACTATCTCTTTTGCGTAAGGATTAAAGCAAAGGGAACTTTATTATCATATCTGTTAAAAGAAAAACTTTAAACTAATTAAATTTAAGAGAGTTTAATTGAGCAAAGAATCAGGCAGCCCCAGAACCAGAATAAGTTCAGAGCTACTCTGGGCTGCTGAGGGGTCAGCTAAGATTTATAGACAGAAATGGGAAAGTGACGTTCAAAAAATGGAAATGGGGTACAAAAATAGCTGGATTGGTTACGGCTGGACGTTTGTCTTATTTGAACATGGTTTTAACAGTTAGCTGCCTGTAATTGGCTAAGACTGGGCTACTTGTTACAAGAAGAGGTTTGTACATCAAGTTAGGTTACAAGAGTAGGTGATGGTCTGTTTACACATCAAGTTAGGTTACAGTTCACTATGTCTGAAGAAACATTTAGGCCAAACTTAATTTAACATTAAGTTAAATTAAGTTTAATTTAATTTAAAAAATTCCCCTGTTTGGGAAGTTGGCTGCTATCTCTTTCTCCTGGTTTCTCAGAAGGTCAGATCACAAGCTAAGTGAAGTAGAACTTAGCAAAGTGACTCAGTTTTTATTTTTAGTCTGGTCTGTTAGGGTCTAGTGTAGGAACTTAGTCCAAAACAGTGACCTCCTGTAATTTTTATTTTACAATTCTTATATATTCTTCCATATATTCTCTATGCAAATTGCAAGTATATGTATGCATGTATAGTATATATGACTCACTTTAAAAAAAATTAACATAAATGGGAATATACTTTTAAAAACTTGCCTTATTAGCCAAACAGTATCTCAGACAATATCTCATTCCCAGTGTATTTATTTGGTGTCCATAAAGTTTGGAAACATAGGCAAATTATCATCCATAATGTTGTCAAGGACGTGTTTAATCTGTGAAAAAAAAATACCGTGTTCTGCTCTTTATGGATACCTGTTGCAGGGGAGGAACAACCTTTTTTCTTCTCTTCATCTAGGTTCTCTGCTGGGCCTCTAGCAAAAGACAGATTAGCAATAGAAAAGCATACAATTGTATTTAATGGAAGTTTTACATGACATGGGAGACTTCATAAGGAAATGAAGACTTGAACAAATGGTTAAACCTAAGCATTTTTATACTATGAATAGTGGAAAGTCCTGGAAAATGTGATAAGACAAAGGAGTATGAGCTAAGAGTTGTAAACTGGAAGAAACAACCTGTTTATTCAGGTTTCTCTAGGTGTCCCTTCATTCTTTGAAGATAAGTATGCTCCCCAGGTATAGGGAGGGCACCTCTCACGTGAAGGTCCTGCTTCAGAGGAAGGTCAGAGTCATTCCTACACCTGCTGTTTCTCAAATTCCGTCAACTTGATATATTTGAATGCTAAGGTGCTATATTTTGGGGTAGTGTGTCCTGTCTCTGTAGATCTACCGTATTCTTTTTAAACAGCAATATGATATTTTACTGAGTTTATTTTTTAATTTACTTAGCAGTGAGCCTCTTTTGATAAGCATTTATTTTCAATCTTTTGCTATAACTGTATTGTAGTGAACAGACTTATGTAGGTGTGTGTATGTGTGTATGTGTTTAAGAATGGCTTTGAACACTCTCGACACCTGTTCATATCACATGGTCTCTCACCTTTAATTTATTAATGTACTGTTAGTGTGCTGATAGATTTCCTAATATTATACTACCAGCCATACACTCGCAAAATAAATCTTAATCCTTTAAAACCTTTCTGAATTTGATTTGCTAATATTCTATTCAGGAATCTTTTAAAGTCATATTTCTTACTGTTGTGTGGTCCAAAATGAGAGAGATTCCACATTAGAATTTATGAGGAAGTGTGGCATTTGAGATATACGTTGAAGGAAATATTGAATTTTCACAATTGGGAGTTTATATTCCAAGTGGAGAGAGCAATATGAGCAACAGCAAGGAGATTGAAAAGTGCAGCAAGAATACAAAGTATTTTACTTCGAAGAAGTAGGATATAAGTAGCTGTTGGGAAGGCAAATTGGAACCCATGTCTCTCAATTGAAAATGCATATATGAAGAGTTACTCTTAATTCAATAAGAAATGGGAAGTCAGTGAGTGATTTTGACATAGGACTTTGCATTTGCACTCTGAGGCATTAGAATTAACTTCTTCTTGAGAAAAATGGTGATTGCTATCTAGATAAAATTTCATAGCTCTTGGGAAATTTTTATTGAATTACCTGAGATGGAAACCTAATTTTTTTTTTCTTTTGCCTTGTTTTAGTTGAGTGCATATGTCCTTCATGCTTGGAGGAATTTTATATTTTTCAAGATTTGACTGCTATCTAGATAAAATTTCATAGCTCTTGGGAAATTTTTATTGAATTACCTGAGATGGAAACCTAATTTTTTTTTTTCTTTTGCCTCGTTTTAGTTGAGTGCATATGTCCTTCATGCTTGGAGGAATTTTATATTTTTCAAGATTTGACTATATAATGAGAAAACAGACTGTGTACTTACTGTTGAGTTTAATTCATTTTCATACAGATGAAGGAAAATGTAGTTTAAATATAGATACCAAGTGACCAACAAATCAGATGGTGATCGGTGACTTGAAAAGAGGAAAATTTTCTTCTGAATTTCCCCTTCCTTAGGAATTTATTAACAGTGCAGCTTTTTTTATTTCACATGGTCAGGTTTTTTCTATACTTGGGAAAACACACAGTTGATGCATTCAGCAGCATTGGTAATGAAGACTAGCAAGGAAACTGTGGTACTTATGCCTCCAAAGAAGAAGGATATTTGGCATTAAGCATATTAATCAATGTTCTGTTATGTAATATAATTGTTTTTTTCCTTAGAAAAACCGTGTAATTATTATAATTATTGGATACCATATATTTCAAATATGATAATAGAAAATCAGATGTTTATTGCTCCAATTAAAAAAATGCTTTTTAGAAACAGAAGACTGTAGAGGTACTTTGATACAGAGTCACTTCATTTGCCTGGCCACTGACACGGACATATTTGAATAAGAATTAATAAGCCACTTAACCTTTCATTTCATTCATATCTATGGTGAAATCATGTGTTTTATTCTTTGTCATTGTTTGCCTAGTAATAAAAATTTTTACTACGTTCGTGTAAGATATAAATCATGAAAAAAAAGGTTGCTGACACATGGTCTCTGTCCTCATAGAATTTATAAAATAGTGGAAAAGACAAAGAGTAAATAAACAAGTAATTACAAGTGCAATAGAGGTTACAAATAGGAAAGGAAAGAGTGGGCCATGAAATATTTATAGAAGATTCTTTGAAAACTTGAAAATGTGGAGTTTCTTACATAATGTTAAACATAGAATGCAGTTATGTGATCTTTTGCTAAAAATGGATCCTTCTCTAATTTCTTAGTTTTACACAAACTATCTTGATTCCTTATCCCCCACTTTTTTTTTTTTTTTTTTTTTTTTTTTTTTATACCATTACGTTAAACAAGCATTTACTGGCCACTTACTCTATGCCAGCCGCTGTTCTGTGACTTTTTTCTATTCACTTATTTAATCCTCATAGCCCTCTCTAAGGTTTATATTATGTCCATTTTATAGACGAGGATGCTGTGAGGCACCAAGAGATTAAGTAGCTTATTAACATACCAAAGGTAACACAGCTGTAAAGTGTAAGACAAAAATAAAATTCTGGCTTAATATTTAGCAATAAATTATGTTGAGTCATATTGCATTTATTTTTCTAATATTAGCTTCTTTTTTCTTTGTTTTCTAGGATTTGTTGATGTATCTGTTACAACTTGTCCAGGCTCTCAAATATGAAAATTTTGATGATATAAAGAATGGATTGGAACCTACCAAGAGGGACAGTCAGGGGTCATTGTCAGAGAGTGTGTCAAATGCTGGAATAAATTCTGCAGAAATAGATAGGTATGGATGAGAGGGCATATTTTCAAGTTTGATAGTTTTCTCCCTTTTCAATTTGTCTTCTTTTTTTTCCATCTTGATGTGCCAAACCCTAGTACTACTAATTTTGAAGTTTTACCAATGAAGATGGCATGTACACTCACAGAACACAAATTACTGTTTTAGAGAGCAGTGCTTTTCAGGCTATTCAGTCAGTAATACCTGAGTTAAAATCTTGACTCTGCCATTTACTAGCTCTGCAAACTCGTGTAAGTTGCATGTTCTCTATGTGGCTCCAGTTTCTCATCTTAAAAATAGGGATAGAAATAATAACTGATCTTTAAGGGTTGTTTGAAGATTAAATGAGTTAGTACTCGTAAAACATTTAGAAAATTGTCTAACACATAGTGCACAGGAAGTGTTAGTTAATATTACTGTTCATGTTAAAATAGAATAAACAATGGGGCTTGTTAGTGGGCTCAAATAGTTTAAGGAAAAGTCTTTTTTATTAGCTGCTTTCACCTCTTTATAGTTATACTAAAAAGAAATAAAAATTACTTGAATTAAAAGTCAGCTATTAACAGTAATAACAATTAGAAAGTCCCAGCTCTGTATCTGACACTGTGTCAAGTGGCCCTCATACATTATCTTGTTATAATAAATAATCCTCTGAGGTGGGTATTCACATATCTAATTTAGAGATGAAAGTCTTAATGAGAAGTTAACTAAATTGCCTAAGGTCTTATATCTTGCAAATTGTAGAGTTGATTTAAAAGCCCATGTTCTCTCTACTTTGCCAATTCGCCTTTCATAAAATCTTAAAATTCGAAATAAACAGGAACCTTTAGGAATAAAATGTGAGGCTCAGTGATATAAAATGGTTTTGTGAAGGTCATAAGGTTTGTTCGTGACCAACCCCGATCTAGAATTCAGATTTCCTGAATCAGTCCAGTCTTTTCAATTATTACTTTGTAAAAGATCTGAAAACAGGAAAAAACATTTTTTCATCTCTTGGCTACTTTATATTTTCTATTTTTAAGAGAGGAGACCCCTTACGTTTCCCACTGTATATTGGAGGCCTTCTGTCTCAAGTTCAGATTATGTATCTTCTTCCTTTCTTATGCCACCTAAAATGTTTAATTAGTAAAACATTTAAAATTAAAATGTATGTAATTTTAAACATTTAAAGTTAAAATCTATTAAAAATGTATGACAGGGTGAAAACTGTAACCCAGCATTTCCCAAATTATGGTATGCTAGTTACTAATTCTGTGTGATTTTGGTGATCTTGTAGCCAGACATGTTAGGAAATTGCCGTTTAAAGATAAATTGACTTTTTCTTTTAATCACAGTACTTATCAAAACCTATAATATTCAGACTTGCACATAAATCTCCAAAAGGCTATTATTACCCATAATCTTTGACCATGGATGGTCTTTTCCCTGAGCATAATGTTACTCTAGTTTTGCACTAAACATACTTTAAGAAGTGATGTATTAACCAGACACAATTAAGATGTACTATGCTGAGAAATTTGTGTCTTCTTTTATAGACGGACTATTTTATATCTCAGTGATCTCTCCTATTACTTTTTCAGTTCACAAATTATAACCAGCCCACTTCCTCCAGTGTCTTCTCCTCCACCTGCGTCTAAAACAAAAGAAGTTTCAGATGGTGAAAATCTGGAGGTGAGTGTAGAGCTTTTAAAATTTCCAATAGGAGAGATCTTACCAGTTAAACATTTTATGTTGGTCTTTAAAACTTTAGAAGAGGGGGCCGGCCCGGTGGCGCACTGCTGTAGTGCGCCGCTTGGGAAGTACGGTGGCGCTCCCGCCGAGGGTTCGGATCCCACATACAGACCGGTTCCCGCTCACTGGCTGAGCGAGGCACGGGAACAACACCGAGGGCTGTGATCCCGTTGCCGGTCCCGGTCCGGTACGGGGGTGACACTGAGGGTTGCGATCCGTTGCCGGACACGGAAAAAGACAAAAAAAAAAAAACTTTAGAAGAGCTTGATTTTGATTAATAAAACAAATATTATAACTTTATTAAATAACTTGTTTTATGATGCATGTTCATGGCTTTTCCCTTCAGCATAAAGTGCCAGATAATCCTCAATTCATGTCATTTTATTGGTGCTTTGGGCATATGAATGGATTCATATGCAATGTGAAAATAAACTGGGCTTAAATATTTTATTAGGGAAACTCAGAATATTTATTGTTAAGGTATTTATGAACATTACTGTAATTGTTATCAGTGTTTGTGATTACATTGTCAAAATGTATGACTTTGATACTAGTGATAATACACTAGGGAGCTGTTTTTAACTATACAAATAAGTTAGACTCATTTTTGAGGTAGAACAGTCTTATTTGACTAGTGCTGCTCTGAAAAGTACATTTGGAAGTGCATTGCAGAAGCTGATCTAGTACATATTATTGAATTTATCCCCAAGACTTCTAATTTAAAAAGAGTCTTTCACACACCTGATGCTGAAAACAAATAATGCATGCTTTGATATTAGAAAGTTCACTTGATTTTTTAATGTACATGTATTGCTTTTAGTCAAATTTTAGGAGTTAAGGTTAGTAACTGAATGAATCTTTTAACCATTGACTGAAGTTTGCATGTTTGCATACCTTTGAAATAACAGAAAATATTTAACTGAATAAAGAATTTTTTAATTACAGGATTGTAGAATGCTTAGGCAAGCCCTTTAAGGAACCATTCTGTGACAGTCCGTTTTGCTTTTTTAAAGTTTAAGATGTTGATTCATTGATTCGTTCATTCATTCACATATTCACACATATTTGTTGAGCCCTTATTACATACTGTTTTAGGTACTGGGGTCTATGCAGCAATAAACAAAACAATCAGTCTTTGTAGAGCTTACATTCTAGTGCTGGGGTGGGTGATAGTTAACAGTTTTTATATATAGCAGAAGAGATAATGATGTCTATTTTCTATAGAGAAAAATAAACCAGAGAAGTATGGTAAGGAGTGTTGGGGTGGGATTAGGTGGTTGCAGTTTTACAAAGACTAGTCAAGGATGGCTTTCCTGAAATAAAAATATCTGTGTAAAGATGAAGCACATGAGGCTATTTGGGGGAAAAGCATTTCAAGCAGAGGGAACAGCAAGTATAGAGGCCCAAAGACCAGAGTTTAAGTTGTGTTTGAGGAACAACAGGCCAGTGTGCCTGGTTGGGGAGTAAGCAGAAGGGAGCATGGCAGAAGACTGGGTCCAAGAGAGAACTAGGTATCAGTTGTGTACAGCTTATAGACCCTTGTACCAAATGAGTTTTACATGGAAGCTGTTGAAATACTCTAGGTGAGACGTGGTGGCTTGAATCAAAGTAGTTTATGTGGGAGATACTGTGAAGTGATTGGATTCTGAAAGTTATGTTTAGAATATAGTTTTATATACTCAAAACTTTTAGGCTAAAAAAAAAAACGTTTTTATATGTTTCTGATATTTCTCTTGTGACTGATGAACCTATCTGTTGTTACTCAATGATTAAGCCATTTTACATTTTCTCAGCTGAATAGTTCCATAAAGCATTCAGGTAATCCAAGCTACCCCAGAAAGGAGTGGGAATTATTTAGAGTGATGTTTCCCTCCCTCTTCCCCTTCCCCCAGTAGAATAACAACATTGTACAAGCTGTTGTCTTCTTTAAGCTAATATCCACCCAAGCTCAACTTCCTCTTTTCTTATCACAACTTGAGATATTGTCCTCCTCCCTGACACCTTAATGCAGTGTCTTATATCCTCCCTCATTTCTTGCCTGGAGTTTTAAGAGACCATTATACATGTCTTGCCAAATGTTAGAAAGAAGATAGAAGCTCAGTTTTTATAACTGAAATATGATCATATTTCATAAATTCCTTGGGTTCTTAAAAGTACGTATTCCCCAACTGTTAGGTATAGCATTGGATGTATGTCACTAGAGCAAGCTTATTAATTGTGTCATTGAAATCGCTTGTGCCCTTCTCTGATGTCTTTTTTCCTGCTTGATCTGTGAAAGAACTAGGGTAAAATTCCCCTGTATGATGGTGGAATTATCAGTATCTTCATGTATTTCTGTTGATTTTTGCTTTAAATATTTTGAAGCTCTTTAATTAAGTGCATTGAAGTAAATCGATTCTTTTATTACTGCTTAGTAATTGTCGTTATATCTGATAATGCTTTTTGCCTAAAAGTCAGATTTGTCAGGTATTAATAGAGTTAGTATTCACTGGTATACTTTTTTGATTCTTTCAATATTTTTTGTATCCTTATATTTTATATTTATCTCTGGAAAACATCATATAACTAAAGTTTGCTTTTTAAACCAGTTTATCACTCTCTTTTAACTGGAATTTTTGCACTATTTGTTTTTATTGTGATTATAGCTGTATGAAGATACTTCAAAAAGTTCATAAAAGATTCATATTATCTTTTAATTCTATTTTTCCACAAACTTTTTGAAGTCCCCTTATATTTGGATTTACTTCACCATCTTATATTGTACTTCCTATTCTTCCATATATATATATAAAATAGTTTTTATATATTTCTGATATTTCTCATGTGGCTGACAGACCTATCTCTTCTTACACGAAGTGTGTGTGTGTATACTTTTTTTTTTCTCCCTGCCTGTCATTGGCTAAATCCCTTTCCCCACTCTCCATCTCACTCCTGGTTTGGAGGTTATATTGTCTATATCAATTATTTTACTGGTTATGCTAGATATTTTAGCTTGTGTGCCTAACTTTAAGTCTCGCATAATTACCCTCCTCCAAAACAGTACATACCCCTTTACTTGTGTGTAGTTTTCACCAATAATTTAGTTTTATCTCGTTATTTAACCTCCAAATTTGATAATATTATTAATTACTATTATATACACACAGTAAATATTTAGAGATACCTCTAAGGATACCTGTATCCTTACTCACCATTTCTTCTCGTGTATCCGACCTCCAGTATTAGATCAATTTCCTTTTGCCTAAAGCACATTTTTTTCTTTAAAATGTTTTAAAATTTTAAAATATTGCTCATCCAAAATGAATTTAAAAATTTACAGTATGTATTTCCTGTTTCACAATTTTTTAATTTAATTCTTCCATATTTGTTGTCTGTAAATAATTTTTTATGAAAACATTGTGTCAAATGAAACACATTTTCTATTTAAATATATATGTCAGTGTATAAAAGTGTAACGTCCTTGTCATATAGTCAAAGGATAAACTTTACTCCTAATTTCTGCCTGTTAAATTCATGGATTCAACTTTACATTATTGATTGAGCAGTTTTCTTATTGAATTTTTGTTGCACATTTGAAAAGGAGATGTAAGGTTTTAGTTCTAAAATTGGAGATTTGATTTTTTTACCACCTCTAAAAGGATTAACACATCTACCTTGTGATAACAACCTCTTATTACTCCAGCTTACTTTTCTTAAGGGCTCCTACTGCATTGAAACTTGCTAATTCATTGATCTTCTTACTCTTTTCTTTGTGAATCAGCTCCCTTCAATATTTGTGCTTTCCTCTAAATATAGCTTTTATCCCATGGCTCATCATTTTAGTCATTCTCTTATTTTTATTTACCTTCAGTTCCCCTAGAAAAATCTCAACTCTTTATAAGCCTAATTACCTCTTTTCTATCTGCCTGAGTATTGCTAAAGAAAAACACATAGCCTAGCATGATGGTGTCACTATAAATTCATGATCACAAACCTCAGATGAGCACTCAGCGCTATCTGCCATCTTACATTTCTCTAGGTGCGTTGATCTCCCAGCTCTGCAGTGACTCTTTCATACCTCTTCCACTCTGTTCTTCATGCCCTGACTCCCAATCTCCAGATGACAATTCTGTATTATACTTAATGGGAAAATAGAAACCACTAGGTGAGAATGGTCTGTTTTTCATCACCAGATTTATAGACATGAAACCCACCCCATCTTTTTCTTGTTTTCTTAAACAGAAGAAACAGAACTCCCTTCAGAGATATGCTTTCTTTTCCTGATAGAAATATTCAAGTATGTGTGTCAGTATTTCCCATCTGAAAAATTGAGAAAAAAGAAAAATACTCTCCCTTGATATCGTATCCTTTTAAATAGCACCTTATTTTCTTTCTTCCTTCCATGATCAGGCTCCTCAGAGAGTTGTTTATAGTTACTGACTCCTTTTTTGGTCTTTAATCCACATAAGTCTGACTTTTGCTTAACACTTATTTGCTAAGGTAGTAAATTACATTAATGTTTGTGATTACACATACTTTTCAGTTCCAGTCAGAGTATTCAGCAAAGTAAATAACTCCCTTCTTGAAAAACTGACTCTTCTCATGGTTTAGGTGATGCCATACGTCCATTGTTTTTCTCTTCCGCTCTCTGGCTGTTCACAGTTTCCTTTGTCAGCACTTTCTACTCTGCTTGACATTTTGATGTTCCTCAGGGTCCTCCTCTGTTCCCAATTTATACTCTTATCTTATGCTGTAGTAATAAACTCAAATTTATATTTCTAGCTCATATCTCCTGAGTTTCAGATTTATGTATCCAAATACTTGATCTATGTTACGTGTCCAACAGGCACTTCAAACTTAATATTTCAAAAGACAACTCTCTTCTCACCCCTTGGCCAGCTTCACATCTGGGATATCTGTGACATAACAAGTCAACCCATTTGCTAAATCCAGTAAGTTGGGAGTTATTGTCCATTCCTTTCATTCCTTCCTACTTCCTCTCCCTCAGCAAGTCCTTTTATTATACTTTCAGAATATTTTTTAAAGTTGTCTACTTCTTTTCATATCTTCTCTCACCGTTCACTCTTACAGACTACTGTAACAGCATCCAGTGATCTCAGCTCTTTATATATCTCAGAGCTACCGGAGTCATTTTCTTAAAATGTAAATCAGATCATCTCACTCTCCTGTTTAAGATATTTTGTTGGACATTCATTATTTTTCAAATAAAATCCATACTCAATAGTACGGAGTCATTTTCTTAAAATGTAAATCAGATCATCTCACTGTCCTGTTTAAGATATTTTGTTGGACATTCATTATTTTTCAAATAAAATCCATACTCAATAGTGTGACCTTAAAGATCTTACATAATTTGACCTTTGCCTATCTTTTCAGCCTCTTTTACTTTTAGTGTTCACTATATTTTGCTACATTATACCCTTTAAAATTCCTTGAACAGCCAAGCTCAGGGCCTTTGTGCATAGTATCATTTTGGTCTTGCCTGAATGTCATGTCCTCATTGCTGCCTTTTCTGACCTCCCAGTCTAAATTATTTCTGTGATCATTTCTTCAGTATCTCTGTCCTTTACTAAATATTAAGGTCTGGGAGGACAAGGAACTCTGTGAACTGTGGTGTCTTAACCTCTCATGTATTGCCTGGTTTAGAATAAATATTGGATGGATGGAAGGATAGATGGATGGATGAAATTCTGATCTGTGATATGAGATATATAGATGAAAACTGATAGGTAAATGTAGACTCTCTTATTTTCTCCTTTAATAACAGATAGTAATATAATATATATGCATTTCTTTTAATTCTTCCAGCAAGATCTCTGTACCTTCTTGATATCAAGAGCCTGCAAAAACTCAACACTGGCTAATTACTTATACTGGTATGTGAAAATTATTTTTTGTTTATTTTCTTATCACTCTTAAGGACTATTGTTTTTCCATAGTGTAAACATAAAGGCAGTTTAAAGTAAGGTGTGAGCAATCATCAAAAGCCTAAATGCAGTATTTATATCTAGCTGTATTCCTTTAAAACTGAGCTCATGGAAATGATTGTTAGCACCACTGTTTCTCTTCCTTTCACTAACTTTCCAGGAGCTAAGATCTAACTGGATAAGGTAGTGGGTTTTTTCACTTTACTGCCTTTTTGCCTTTTATGCAAATTTAAGTAGTGTGTATGATACTTTGTTGTCAACCAAACGGAGTTCGTTTGCCCATGCACTACAGAAAGCCAAACACCAAATCACAGATCTTTGCAGAAGAGAAAAAGGTTTATTCACAAGGGGGCCAAGTGAGAAGACAGGAGATATATGTATCTCAAATCCGTCATGTCCAAGCAGGAAAGGAGATATATTTATGAGGAAGTTGTTAGGAGTGTGCAAGGTGAGGAGATTGCCCTTGGTTATAAAGGTCTGAGGAAGTTCCCTAACAATCTGTACAGGTGCAAACCATCTGCATGCCTCTGCATGTTTAGAAAATGGCAGCATTAGCAGGATCTGGAGGGGGAGTCTTGACCCTCTGCTGTCAAAACACCACACATCAGACAGTTGCGCAGGCTCAGTAGAGATCTCTGCAGGCTAGGTTTGTTGTGTGTTGGGCGAAACTATCTCTGGTAGGTTCTGAAAAATACTTCAGGTGCAGGAGACCTGACTTCTGGGCCAGAGGATTTATATTAGTAGGCAGATAAGAAACAGAATGAAAGGTTAGCTGTGGAATTTTACTGAAAGAAGTAGCAATTTAGGGCCAGCCCGGTGGCGCACTAGGTAGAGTGCGGCGCCTGGGAGTGCGGCGGCGCTCCCGCCAAGGGTTCGGATCCCATATAGAGACCGGTCTGCTCACTGGTTGAGCGCAGTGCGGGCGCGACACCGAGGGTTGCGATCCCATTGCCGGTCACGAAAAAAAACAGAAAGGAAAAAAAAAAAAAAAAAGAAGTAGCAATTTAGGGCCAGCCCGGTGGCGCACTAGGTAGAGTGCGGCGGCTGGGAGTGCGGCGGCGCTCCCGCCAAGGGTTCGGATCCCATATAGAGACCGGTCTGCTCACTGGTTGAGCGCAGTGCGGGCGCGACACCGAGGGTTGCGATCCCATTGCCGGTCACGAAAAAAGACAGAAAGGAAAAAAAAAAAAAAAAAGAAGTAGCAATTTAAACAAATAAATTTTAACTGAAAAGCCATGGTTACAATTTCACAGTCCTTCAGTAGTGTATATTTTCATATTATTTACCAAAACATTAGAATCATGCAAAAATTGAGAGTTGGAATTTAAAATTTCCTTATTTCATTTTATAGATGAGGAAACTGAGGCAGAGACATGATGTGACTGAACTTAGTAGAACCTTAACTAGACTTAGATTATTTATCTACCACTATGCTATTTACAGGGTACTTTGAATGAGTATATCCCTATGAATTTAAATGGGGCAAGTATAAATATCTTTACATTACGTGAGAACAGTGTCCTGAGTGAGTTGAAGAAAACAGAGAAACTAAGGCACAGACAGGCTAACTGATTTCCTGAAACACAGTTAATGTGAGGCATGGTTCCCTTTATCTGTTACAGAATTCTAAAAGGTTTAAAAGACAAGTACCTTAAGCCACAGTGAGAAATAGTTTGGTTCTATAAAAGAAAGCTCTAGGATTAAACATTAGATAAGAGAGTTTAACAGAGCAAACAAAGGGCAGAGCCAGCTGGGTAAGCCCTACATGAAGCTTTCTTTACATTTGAGAAAATACTTAAAAGTAAATATAACTTTTTAAACTTCTTGACATACTTGAGATTTTTAAACTGTAGAAATGATCTTGGATCTGATCTTATTACTCAGTTTACAGCCTTAATTTAAATGGTACAAATTAATATATGCCCATTATGAAAGTTCATTATCTTTGAATAATAATGAGGGATTTTGCTTTTCAAGAAAAAATTAAACAAAATACTATTTTGTTTTAGAATAGGTTTGGGAAAACTGTCCTGTGGGTCAAATCAAGCCTTGACTTCATTCTCCCACTCTCCAAAGATAGTTTTATTGTGGATACTGCTCCTGTATCCAAGAAGTAATTAACTAAATGGGGCACTGTTAACAAATACAGGTTTTGTTATTTACATAAGCAATAAATATTTGTCTAGTTTAATCCTTTAATTTAGAAAAACTGTTATCAACAATCTTAACCAAATCAGTCATTTCTCCCCACTTTGGAATCTGATTTTTTTCCCCACTGGCCTCAGTGTAGTGGGAAGAAAAGTAATTCCCTACTTTTACTTTAGCAGTTTAATGTAATATTCATAAAATTATACTTCCCTTGCATTAAATTTCAGTACGTCCTTGAAAATACTCCCAAAGAATGTTTTGGCTAGTTGTTAATCACCATTTTTCCTTCAAAAAGTTTATTTAGAAATTCTCATTTCACAAAATTGCTGTTCTTTCCTTTTAGTGTAACCTCTTGCTTCCTAGTGTTCTCTATATTCCAATCTGAATTCTTAAGTGTATGTCTGTTCAGTGAGTATTATGGAAAAATCTTTTCTCATGAAAATCTAAGTAAGTGTTTAAAAGGAAATAAAGAGAAAAAAATGCATGGGGCATGTTGCCGAGTTTTTGAGTATTTCCAAGTTCCTTAGGTATTTTATAATGTAGATTTTATATATTTTTAAAATCACTTAGTAAGAATTACTTTATAGATATTTTTGTTTCTTGCAGTATTCATGAAAAGTGTTCTGTGGCTTGGAATTTATAGCCTAGAGTAGTCACTATTATAAGAATTCTATTTGTGTATATTGATTATGTATTTTGAAATTATGTACTTGGATTTTACTATAGACCAGATTTCATCATAAAATTTGAAATTAGTTTTGATGGGTCTTTGATCTCTTATTTAAAGTAGGAAGAATTTTCAAATCATTCTGAAAGCAACTGAACAGAAATCTATTAGATGAACAGTTTCCAGCATGGCAACCATTTCTGTTCAGAAACAGCATTTTGTTTTCTCCAAAGATAATAAACAAAGTACCGCCCCAGTTCCCAGTCTTATAAGCATTCCATCAAACTTAAATTTGATTTGTATTTTGTCACTATATCTCTGATTCATTGAAGCAATAGCTTGTGCTATGTGTATTCATTCTCTAAAGAATAATTGTTTTTCCCATATTTACAGTCTGTATATTACATATTCAGAAATACTCAAGAGGAGAAAAGCTATTAATGTGGACTCTGGCAGATACTGTTTTTGTGAATGTAGGATAATAGCATGGGAAATTATTCTAAATAATCAGTTTTAAATGATAATTCTCTTATTTTGAACATGGATAGAATAGTATAAAAATATTAATCAAATGTAACCATTTAAATGCCCTTTACTCTAAGCACACTTTATTATAACAAATGTATCAAAATATAAGTTTAATTGATTGTGACATTTTCTTTTGAACATTTTGAATTTCCTTTTTTCATTTGTTCCCTTTCCAGTGTTTTAAACAGGATTCCTGCTGTAGCTAAATCCTTAGGGGCCAATAGTTGTGCAGACAATCCTTTTAAAATGAATAGTGTCAACCTTTTAAGCCACAGAGGGGAGTTATAGTTTCCAATCTGTAAAATGTTGGACATCAGAATCTATAAATCGTTCCAGTTTTTTATTTTTATAGCCATTCCAGTGTGTTGAAATTGAAAGTAAACTTGGGGTACTTTGACATATTTTTTATAACTTTTAAGACCTTTCAAGGTCATAAAGGTTATTTACTCCACAAAATGAAATTGCCGGGAAACAGGTAACCCACTGATGTCATCTTACAATGGATACCCAGACAATTTTGTCTGCATTTCTACTTTAAGATGACAGCTTTCAAAGGAATACCTTAGAGTGCTTTGGAGAATTTAGTTTATTGGTGTGAACAGAGAACTCAGTAGTGATTCAAATCTGGGTCTCCTAGTCTTGATATCTAACCTTGTCTTTCATGTTTGGAGATGACACTGTCCATTTGATTTTAGATGGACTTTTTCTTTACAGCAGAACTTTGGCTTGAATTATTTTGAGAGGTGTTTGATACTTGATCCTTATCATAAGCATCCACATACATCTTCAGTCACAGAATAGATGTAGCCATAGTGTTTACTTAGTGGTCAGACCTGAACACAGCAATGGGGCTTGTATATTACAGTCACCTGTATGTTCCTTTCAAAATGAGTTTGCTATGTAAATACATAGGAAAAGACACTGGATGTACTAAGGTAATGGAACCAATCAAGGACTTTAAGGGTAGAATGGTAAGGATTGGATTTGAATAAAACTGTACTCCAGTTTTATAGTTTAGAACAACTGTCTTTTTGACATTCATAGGTGTTGTCTTAAAATGACCAAATGTTCTGGAATACTGTGAATAGGAAATATGAGTTTATTTTTTACCTGTTCTTAGCTCAGTTATCTAGAACACAGCTCTCGAGTAGAACTTTCTGCAACAATGGATATGATCTTCAATGTTATATATGCAGCTACTGAGCACTTGAAATGTGGATAATGTTACCGAGAAACTGAGTTTATTTCATTTTAATTTTAAAGTTGTCCAGTGGTGGTTCTAGAAGTCCTAGAAGGCATTCTTGACTCAATATTCATAAATGCCTTCTTGAAAGCCTGCTATGACTATAAATGTAAATCTTAAAAGGGGACAGGCAATAAAGAGGCCTGAAATTTAAACATGTATGTTTTTTTTTTTTTAAATCACCAAATTTATTTGAGAACAAGAAAATTTCTTGTGCTGAAATTTTGGGGGCTTTAAGATTTCTCCTTTTCAATGACATTTCTGAATGCATAAAAATACCAAATTTTTTATCACAGCCTTTACACTTCAAAATATGTTTTTGTTTGCTTGCTTTTTGTCCCTTAGTATTAAATGTTGGGATACTCCTGGTTTTGGGTGTTGTTGTTTTTTTCCTTTGAGACAACAGTACATATAATATAGAGGTACAGTTTGTTGGATTTTTGTTTATGTATTCATTTCATTCCAGTTTGGTTTATTTTAATTGTTGATACTTAAGTGTCAAACAGTAGATATTACTTGTTTTATTTATGATACATTTCAGCTTAGAGTTATGTTATTCTATGTGGATGTAAATATAGATTTGGTGTTTTGAAAAAAATAAATAAAAAGAAATGTCTTCTTGACTTTTTGGTTTCGAGCTCTTGCTGATACAGTGGATGTAGTGTCATGGTTCAACTCTTTATACCATTTTACAGAATATCCTGGTTATACAACTCTGGGGACCCTACAACATCTGTTATTATCATGGTAAAGCATTGAACTTTGTATAAATCTACCTCTCATATGCCAGGGGCACTGAAAGTTTTTAAAATATGACACCTGGCAGTTTCTTTGTAACCATGAAGGGCTAAGAGTTGAACACGTGAAACAGAGACAAGCAAGGAAACATTAATAGCACAAGTTGTGTGAGAGGCTATGCCTATTCTAGAAAGTCAGAGAAGGAAGACGTTAAAGTCTATGAAGACTTCCTGGAAGAGACAAAATGTCAGCTATGCTTGAAGGATGGGTAGAACGTGGAAAGATGAAGAGAGAGGGAAGGTATTTCTAGATAGTACTGTGACATGAGCAAAAGTATAAGGGGGTTGCCTATTGGGTAGGGGCATTACGGGATTGACCTTACTGGAGTGTGAGTGCATAAACTGGGGATAATGCACGTTGGAAGCAGAAGCTTGGGCCCACAGAAACTCTTAAAATGGGTAGGGGCATTACGGGATTGACCTTACTGGAGTGTGAGCGCATAAACTGGGGATAATGCACGTTGGAAGCAGAAGCTTGGGCCCACAGAAACTCTTAAAATAGTAAGAAAGAGGAAACTATTGATGTTTTTGTTAATATGAATGGGACATGCAGGAGGTATTTTAAAGACAAAAAAATTAGGATGACTGTATTGAGCAGTATGTAATTTTTTTTTTTAGAGGTAGAGAGGCCAGATAATGGTGTCTGCTGTTTGATTCCAAGTAGGTCTGGATAGTAGAGAACCATTGCAAGAGGCATTTAATAGGAAAAATTAACAGTGGTGACTAATTGAGCATAGGTGTTGGAGGCAGCGGAATGTAAGCTCAGTTTGGCTCTAAATATGTGGACCACAGATTGAACACAAAAGACTAACACAAGTTTTAGGCAGAGCTTGTGTTCTCTGCTTTGGCTGTAGCCCCAGCTGTCTTTCTTTTCTTATATTCAGGAGATTTAAACATTTGTTTCCTGCCTGACTTTTGAGGAAACTTAAGTTTGTGAACCCAGCTACATGAGAATTTCTAGCTCAAATGCCTGGAATATTTATAGTACCTTCAGTAGAGGTAGAAAAAGATCCTATTTAGTGTAAGTTCTGCTTTTCATACATTCAGTTAAAATGGCAAAGAGTATCTTAAAAAGAGGCTCTGGTGCTTGAAAATTAAGGTAGATGAATGTGAAAGCAGGTCACATAATGAAATACAAAATTAGACCTTAGGTGTAAAAAGAGGGATGTTTGAGAGTTATCGATATTGAGATAATGGCTAAATCCATGGTGGGAGTTATTCGTTCATTCATTGATAATACATTGAGCAATCTATTACGAGCCAGGCATGGAAGTGTTGAAGGTATAGTGGAGAACAAGATAATCTCTCTGCTCTCATGAAGTTTACCTTCTAGATGGCTGAGTATACTCTTTTCTAGAAATAGTGTAAAGGATGATGATAAATGTCCATGACTTGAGATTTGGGAAACTCTAATCAATTATGGAGGTTGAAAAGTTTTTTGTATTTTTTAAAGATAAAACAACTTGAGAGTTAGCTTAGAACAGAAAGAATTCTGGCCTAGGAACCCAGAGAGCTAGATTCTGATCTCTGCTCTACGATCAGCTAATTGAGCCACCATGGGCAAGACACACCCTCTTTAAGTTTTGCTATTTATAAATCAAGGAAGTTGATCTAAGTATGTGCTTTTTGAACTATACATCATGAGCTTTTGAAGCAATTTAAAGCTTCACAGTCTAGCATTTGTTATTTAAAGAAAATGAAAAAGAAAAGTAACAAAATATTAACATATTGTTCATAGGTTATTGCTTTCAAAACTTCAGTTTCATTCATCTGTGTGCACACCTATGGCTGTGTGTACCAGGTTGTGATATAAAATATTATTTGTTATTATGGTTTGTAGTTATCAAAACATTTAGCAACACTGGATTAGATAACCTCTAAAATCTTATTTATTTAATTATTTATTTATTTACTGGTGGCTGGCAGGCATGGGGATACGAACCCTTGACCTGGTGTTATAAGGCTGCATTCTAATCAGCTAAGCTAGCTGGCCAGCCTATTAAAGTAGTTAACGTTCGGGCCGGCCCGGTGGCACACTGCGCTAGTGCGCCGCTTGGGAAGTGCGGCTGCGCTCCCGCCGAGGGTTCGGATCCCACATACAGACCGGTTCCTGCTCACTGGCTGAGCGAGGCGC